AGAAACGTGGGGAAAAATCGGCGCCACCAATAGGCACACGACCCATATTATACTCGATGCCATTTGTAGAGTAATAGTCCCGGATTATATTTGTGGCCATTTGTTTGGGCAGACTATTAAGGCTGACTCCGGCGGCGTCTGTGAAGGCGCCCCCAAAGCCTATAATTTTCTGGTATTTTACGGTCTTATCGATAGTCAATACAATGGTCTCGTTGTTGGTCTCGCTATCACTGAATGGGTTTAAAATTGTAATTAATAATAAACATTAATTAAAAGTTTAATTTTGCAAAATAATAAATTTCGTACACATTTTGTTTGGACTGTATTTTAAGCGTCGATTGTTTAAATCTTTCCCCGCGTTTGTTGGTCTCAAACAGTAATACCGTTCCCTTCGCGGCTTTGGTTACGGCCTCTAAATCGTCGCAAAACGTTGCGTTGCAAACACAATAAGGGGTGTCCTTTCCGGCTCGTGGTATACATTCCCGACGGCTTTCCACTAAAGTTTTATAATATTTTTAATCAATGAATTAGTTAATACTAAAGCGACAAATTTGTAGGGCAACAATAGTTGACTCAATCATTATTAACAATCAAATCAATACTAAATTAATACAATTAACGCTAACGTTGAACATTGCTTTGATTGTTAATAGTGAGTGAGTTAACTATTATTGCCTACAAATTTGTCGCTTTAGTTATTACTCTGTTGTATACCTATAGTTAATATAGTGATCAGCGTTTGGATTAACAAAACAGTTGTTATGAATCTCATTGTAATTATGTTTTGAGTGAAACTCAATTGAATGGCTGTTTTGCACATAAATTGCTTATATTTATATAAAATTTTGTTTTCCACGTCAAAAGGAAATTCACTTATCAGTGTACTTTAGTTCAGGTGTTATGAATGTACTTGCAGTCTAGAATGTGAAAATACTTATTTAGCTTAGAACCAATTATTTGATTACAAAATACACAATAATTTAATAGATATATCCTTCTTAAATACCTGAAGTACACTTGATCAAGTACAACTTAATAATAGATAAAATTTATTTTTATGCGAAAATATTTTCTATTCAACAATAGTTTTGCACCTGTTTAGATATGGAAACTGGCAAATTGACCTAAAATCCAATTGACCTAAACTTAAATAACTTAATGACCAATAGACTTTTGACCATTGTCAGGATAGGTAAGGTTAGGTTAGGTCAAGGGGAACATTTTACACTGGTCATCAGGTATATTTACTTACTGGTCATTAAGTTATTTAAGTTTAGGTCAATAGACCCGCACCCTTAGATATTACTAAAGTTGTTGGGAAAGTACTATCAAAATCATTTATTTGAAAACTACAATGATTAAAAATAAACCGAAAATATACTTTTTTCATATTTTCTTGAAGTTTAAGTTCTCCGATGGACAACCACTTTGTTGCACTGGATGTGAGCTTGCTAGTTTTTTTGCTCTAGCATAAAAATTATAATTCTTAAAGTGAATTAAAGTACACCGTTAGAAGGGATTTCAAAAACTAAGGATACATTGTGCTCCATGCATTTTCCCCACTTTATACATAGACTTAACATATGATATTGTGCACATTATAAACAATTTCCCCATTGGATTAACATGAGATATTGGGCTATAGACCATTTTTAAAAATCTCATAGAATTTACATGGGGTTTTCATGAACTTTTGCACTACCATCTCGATCATATGTCCATTTTCTTGATACACATGTACCTTTAATTAAGAAAATTATCAATGTATTCATATAATATTTTTAAAACATCATTTTCCGGTACAAGTTAAATATTTTAAAAATATTTTTTAATAGAATTAACATAGCTTATATGGATATATAATTTAGATAAGAAACTAACTAAAAATCTAATGTAATTTTCTTTTAATTTAGTTTTAAAATATAAAAAATAAAAACCGTTGTAAACCATCCTACAGAATAAATTTTTTATTTGATTATTTTCCATTATCAACCTCATAAATTTTTATGGTGATACTTAAAATATTTAATTTAAACATAAGTTATTGAGTTTGACAATATTTTTGCCAAACATTTAATCCCAATAGATATAAGTCTGTATCGAACGCGCCTCCATTCGGGTGTTTATCTGACCGACACTTTTATCAACAATTTTAAACTCTTGCGGTTTATCTTTCAGATTATAGACGACTAAAACCGTCGCGTTATCATTGGGTCTGACAAACGCCACGTAACTAAAATCGTTGACCGATTTGTCCGCATTGGCGCCAATTCTCACCGAATCTTTGACCAAGAATTTGGAATAGTGTCCCAAAATATAAAAAGTCGAGTCCTTGTAGTACTCGTTAGCCGTGTGGTTGACGTGAATCGGTGCCAACGCTGACATATTGGCCCAATTGGGCTCACCATACATGTCGAGCACCAGATTCCACTCAACCCAACCTCGGGTCCAATGTTGCAAATTCTGAGTGTAATTAATGTTAATGTAATTAAGCACTTTAGGAATCATAATTTTTCCTTCAAAATGAAAATGATAATTTTTTACACTATTATTGTGTTACACTAATTGATTCTGTGCATGTTTACTGACCTAAAAATGATAAACGTTTTTGTTTTAGTGTTCAAATTAAAAATGACTTACACTCATAATATCTCTAGCGTAAGACTGGGCGTGATCCCAAACACCTAGCTCCATCACGGTACGGGTGGCTCTTTTACTAAACTCTTGGCAACATTCAGTCGACATCACAAACTGATCGGGGTATCGCTTGTGTAGAAGCTCCAAATCATCCCAAACCTGTCCGTTTCCATAGCAATGGTAAGCAATTCCTATTTTACAAAGTGTCAAAAGAATACTCATGATACTATTCGCATAAAATTAATTAGTCAGCACTCAAACCATGTATATATTTAGCCGTTTCTGAGTCATCAAGGCACGTCTCGATAAATTTAGCCATAGCGGGTCCCCATGGTCCATTATCATATATCATTAAGTTTAATTTATCAGGTCCATAGCCGGCTGCTTTGAGTGCTGGACCAAGGTCCATTTTGACAAAATCTCGTTCAAACGTCTCATTGAACCCCAAGCAATTCCAGCCACATTTCCCGGGATTCACACCACTCGGTTCATTCTGGACGGTCAGCCCCCAGAATTCGATTCCGTTTGATTTGTATGCGTCCAGAAATCTATACAGAAAGTTATAATTATAATTTATAAACAAGCAAATAATTATTGACTAAACAATAAAATTAATGTCATGATAACACTTACTTAACAAAATAATTGGCCCACGTTTTAAAATATTGTTGTCCCGGTTGACCAATTAGAGAGCCGCCATTCAACGGGCCATATGGTCCCTCGTGTTTCATCCAAGTGGGTGATGACCAGGGACTGCCGAACAGGGTCAATTTATTAGCAGTTATATTTTGAGCTAATTTTATATACGGCATCTGCAAATATAATCAAAAATTTAGCATCAAGAACATAATTATGAAACTAAACTTTTAAGTCGTAATCTTCCGGTTGTATTTTAAACGTGCTAAGCTTGAAGTCACCCTGGTGATCATCATCGTAAGTGTAGAAACGTGGGGAAAAATCGGCGCCACCTATGGGCACACGACCAATATTATACTCGATGCCATTTGTCGAGTAATAGTCCCGGATTATATTTGTGGCCATTTGTTTGGGCAGACTATTAAGGCCGACTCCGGAGGCGTCTGTGAAGGCGCCCCCAAAGCCTATAATTTTCTGGTATTTTACGGTCTTATCGATAGTCAATACAATTGTTTCGTCGTTTGTCTCGCTATCACTGAATGGGTTTAAAGTTGTATTTATTAATTAAAATTAATTAAAGTTTAATTTTCAAAATAATAAATTTCGTACACATTTTGTTTGGACTGTATTTTAAGCGTCGATTGTTTGAGTCGTTCCCCGGCTTTGTTGGTCTCAAACAGTAATACCGTTCCCTTCGGAGCTTTGGTTACGGCCTCTAAATCGTCGCAAACCGTTGCGTTGCAAACACAATAAGGGGTGTCCTTTCCGGCTCGTGGTATACATTCCCGACGGCTTTCCACTAAAGTTTTATAATATTTTTAATCACGGAGGCGTCTGTGAAGGCGCCCCCAAAGCCTATAATTTTCTGGTATTTTACGGTCTTATCGATAGTCAATACAATTGTTTCGTCGTTTGTCTCGCTATCACTGAATGGGTTTAAAGTTGTATTTATTAATTAAAATTAATTAAAGTTTAATTTTCAAAATAATAAATTTCGTACACATTTTGTTTGGACTGTATTTTAAGCGTCGATTGTAGCTTTGGTTACGGCCTCTAAATCGTCGCAAACCGTTGCGTTGCAAACACAATAAGGGGTGTCCTTTCCGGCTCGTGGTATACATTCCCGACGGCTTTCCACTAAAGTTTTATAATATTTTTAATCAATGAAATAGTTATTACTCTGATGTATACCTATAGTTAATATAGTGATCAGCGTTTGGATTAACAAAACAGTTGTTATGAATCTCATTGTTATTATGTTTGAGTGAAACACAATTGAATGACTGTTTTGCACATAAATTGCTTATATTTATATAAAATTTTTGTTTACCACTTCAACAGAGAATAGACTTATCAGTGTACTTTAGTTAAAATGTTATTCATGTACAGTATCTGAAGCCTAGAATGTTGAAATACTTATTTGGCCTAGAACCAATTATTTGATTATAAAATACACCATATTTTAATACACATAACATTATACTGGTACTCCTTAAATACCTCAGATACACTTGATCAAGTACAACTTAATAATAGATATTTATTATTATGCGAAAATATTTTCTATTGAAAAATAGTTTTGCACCTGTTCAGATAGAAAACGGATTCTTAAAATTTTATTTTTAATAAACTGTGATATAATTAAAAATTTCAGATTAATTTATTTTATTTACTCATGATTTTATTTGATAATTAATTAGAACAAAGCTTAACTTGACTGGTTAACAATTTAAGTGAATATAAAAGTTGATTTAGTGCATCTTTAAGTTATGTTATGTTTAGTTAAAATGTTTGCTTAAATTTTGTCTTATCTTAAACTCACGGACTTAAAGATTATACCAAATCGCGGTTTGGCATCGAATTGCATTTCAATCCTTTTTAGATAATAATGTAATTATTAGATAATATTATTGTAGAATACTCTAAAGTACAGTCTATTTTCCAATTACCTGTCAATAGTTAAAGAACCTGAATAAACTCAAACTAATTTGGTATTTTACAATATTGACATAAGATTAAATGAACTGTTAGATAACTACGTAATAATGTACTTAAAAATCATACATTTATATCGCACTCCAATATATAGGGTAATCAGATATCCAAAAACTTGAATACTTAAGAATTCACTCAAAAATACTTGAAGATACTTTGATATTGTGAGGGGAAGTGTCCAGGTGGGGTTCGGGAGGCGTCTTAACTGTTACAAAACACGCATCCACCGGACTTTCCCCTCACCTTTCGCTCATCGGTAGTCTAGAACGTACTTGATACAATTCAACAATTAGTATAAAATTATGAGTTAAATAAATAACAATTATCTTTTAAAACACTTTTATTATTTAACATAAGAATGACTATACTCTACATTTCATGTGCACTGATGCTATGCCTAGGATGACCAGAACGTCCTCCGTGGGGAGGATTGTCCTCCTTTGGACCTCTCAGAACACTGTCCTCCCCGGTATCTGAGGAGGACGTTAAGATGTCCTTGAACATAAATTGCATAAAATTCCTCTTTTTTTGCTAATTTTATGTGTTTTATAGTAAGTTTATGTATAAGAGGAATCCAAAAAAGCGCCGCGGCGTTTTTGCTCGCATTTCTATGTTTCTTGAGATAAATCAATTTTGTATAAAGGATTATAAACTTTCACATAATTGTGTTCTTTTGACATACTAACCACCCTGGTGACTCAAGTATTTCAATAATAATTTTGGACCAACGCGAATGTCATAGTCACCGATCACAGCATAGTAGCAGGGTAAAATCTAAAATATACAAATTAAAGCGGAAAGTATAAGCTTTCATTTGAGCCATAAGCCACCTTGCTACGATTTCTAGTTTTGAAATGGTAATCTTTTGAAAATCAAGAATCTCTATGGAAATATCAATGGGGAATTTTTCAATTAATAATTACTAGAAATAAAATGGTAGATAGGTAAGAGTGTACCATAGCTCAAAGAGAGAGAATTTAATTATCTTTCAAACGGTGTATCATTCATTAAGGTCTGAATTGTATTTCTGGATTTATTCTTAAATATTGGGTGTCCCATCGTATCAGTACGACTTGTAAATTAAATTAAAAATATTTACAATTATATTTTACTAACAAAAACTATACCAAAATGTTGGAAATTTATTAAAATTTTATGTGAGATTCATAA